CAGTTTAAATTTAAAAATAAGTTTGAGTTATTTGACATGTTGAGTTATTGACAGTAGAACCTAAGTACTGTCACTGTAAATTCTCACATGTCACAGTGAAATAACTGATAACTGTAAAACATGTCACAATATTTTTCACTAAAAGAGTAGCCAGTAGCCTATAATAGCAACTAAAGTAGCATCTTCAAAACACCAATTTTCTCGCTTCAAACAACTAAAATTAAAAAAAATAATTTAATTTTATCAATTTTGATTTTTAAACAAATATTATTTTTTATGTTTATTAATCTTTTTTTAATTGTTTTGCTTATTCTTATAACTGCATTTTATGCTTTTGGAAATTTTATCTTGTTTGCATTATGTATTCACCCTGGTTATCTTATATACAACTGTTTTCCAAATAATTTGCTACATATATGTTTAAAGTTGTATAGACACATGAAATAACATTTATAAATTTTTTTATAATTCAGAAAATCAAGATTTTGCTTCTGATTTAATTCAAAACTTTCCATTTATTCAAAGTCATTTTGAGATATTGAAAACTGTTGGAGAAGGTAAGCTCTAGAATTATTTTAAATAAAAAAAGGTTCTTGGAAACTCTGATATAACTGTGGCCTTTTATAAAACTTTTGTAAAAATTTCTTTTATAAAACTAAGATTATTTTATCCAACTTTTGAACTAAAATTTTTTACTCTTTGTAAGCGTTACCTCTACCATAGGTAGCAATAACAATAACAATAATTAATAGCAAAAAAAAATTTAAATTTATTTTTTCGCAAAAATAACACTGATTGTAATCAAAATTTTAATTTTAGTTTACAGTTGTAGTTATAATACCATTTTTTTTCAATAATTAATTGCAAAGTGTAACAAAAAACAAATTAGTATTTTAAAAGATTACAGTTTTGTTGCAACAAAAATGGCATTATACATACAGTTTTTGTACATAAAATGCGTACAGTGTAATTCTTCAAGTAAAGGATATCAATTCACAACATTTTTTTGATCCTAGGAAGTGAAAGATTTAAAATTTATTTACTGGTTTTCCGGTAATTGAAAAAAATCATATAGTGAACACAAGAACACCAACCACAACAAATATTTTTAAAATAAAATTAAAAAAATCTAAGGCAGTCTAGAGATAAGTCACTAAGTGACGATCTTCATTTTGTGCAGAAGTTAGACAACAATCAAAATATTCTCTTACTTTCTAATAAGGTTGTTTGTAGGCAAATTTTGGATATATATATATATATATATATATATATATATATATATATATATATATATATATACACCTAGTTTAGCACTTATGGGGACAGATTTTGCAAAAAACGAGCACTTACAGGGACATTTGCGCTATCGGGGACATTTTAGTGTACCCGCTAATTTTTTGTCCCTGTAAGCATGAATTTTTTGCAAAAAAATGTACTCGTAAGAAACTTTTATAGAGAATAAAAAGTACATACATCAACTGATAAATAGCCTGAAGGGAGTGCTGCTACATTGACTGAGGGTTTGGTTAGGCCAGGCAGCAAGGTCAGGCTTAAGGTTAAGGTTAGGGTTGGGGTTGGTTATATTACTGTAATTAATCGTTTTTGTAAATAGGTGAAGTTAAAAATGAAAAATAATATAAAATAAATAAATAAAAATAACAAAAATTAATATAAAGAATATACTTTTATAATAAAATAATAAATTTAAATATTTTAAATAAAAATAGAAATAAAATAAAAATTAAAAAATATATATAAAAATGATAAAAAAAGTAAAAAAAATAACATGCTCATATATATATATATATATATATATATATATATATATATATATATATATATATATATATATATATATATATATATATATATATATATATATATATATATATACAGGCTTCGGCAGGAATGACGGGCTATAGCCCGTGTCCGTCTCCGCACCCGTCTAAGTCAGTTTAGACGGGCGAAATAAAGCCCGTCTGAAACATAAGTTTTGTGTAAAAAAAAAAGATGAATATTTTGATGTTTTTTTATTAAGATACTCTTTTAAAACTTCTCTCATGACATAATTTTAATATGGATAGCAAACTCCAACTTATAATTGTTTATATTTAAATATAAAAATTAAACAGTTTAATCATTATTGTATAACATGATGTAGAAAATAATATAACTAAATCTTACAGTTTTTTAAACGACGATAACTGTTTGATATAATACCAAACAGTTACCATATTATGTTCAAAATTTAATAACTATTATATTAAATAGGGAAATATACACATGTGATGCACAAGAAGTATCATGTTGTTTTGGTTTTTCAATGTTTATAATAATAACGATAATAAACTAATTATCCATGTATTTCGCTTTTTTCCGATAAACTAATTTGTCTTACTTTAAAGACATTTAAAGTGATATTTCCGCGTTAACTTCCGCGTTAACTTCACGTTTTTTTCTTAAAGAGACGGCAGTTTATTTAATATGCAATTATATAACTCGTTATTGAAAATGAAATATCTCATTAAAAATCAACAAACGTCTAATCAATTTTTGTAGATAATATAAATAGTGTTGCTTTATAGTTATGAAGTTATTCAAGTTATCCAGTCATTCAAGTTTTTCAAGTTATTCAAGTTTTTCAGTAAAGATAGTAATGGCATCATCTGGTAGAAGAGTTACATTAGCAACATTTTTGAGTTGGGGTAAAGATGGAGTCTGTGGAAAAGAAACTGAGGTGGAGAACGGAACAATTTTTTTTGTGAAGATATGGTGTATGGTTTGTATAAAATATAAAAAAGAATTGCTTCGCGAGTTTAAAAGGTCTGGCAAAATCAAAAGCATTAGCATTTATAGAGGGCACTACGAACGTTAAAGCTAGCAACATACATACGCTTATATACATGCTTATATATTGTATATAAAGTAACGGAAGCCCCGGTATCTTAAGAAATTATTAGTACTTCTAAATAAAAACTTATTTTATTAAAAGAAATTAGATTTCAAATTTTTTATTCACGTATCAGAATAACTATTTCCGATCAGGATAGGCATAGGTAAAGCAAAGTTATAAAAATATAAATAACAGTTTAAGTTTTTAATTTGCACGCCCAATAGAATGCAAGAGTATATAAATAATTGAATTTGAAAAATAACATAGTTACGTATCATATTACCAAGCTAATACCAAACAATTCTAAAACTATCGAGCTCATTGATTCAAGGTTAAAAAAAAAAAAGATTTCAAACTATTTGCTGAATAATTAAAAAAATTAGATTTTGAAAATATTATGTAATATTTTTATTCACAAAGAATAAGAGAAACGAATGAACTAAAAAAGCACGATAAAAACCTGTATAATTTAATCGAATACTTAAATAAAACAATAATATATAAATATACTCAAAAAGACTTCGGTAAAAAAACGCGTTAGGATGCTTGAATAAGGAAACGTGATGAAACGCCATGGTTGTTTTGAGGATTTTTCCCGTCGTTTTCACGTTCATTCGTTTGACTATATCTGCCAGATATTATCTGGAATAAAGATTTAAAAAAAAAAAACATAAAAAACTGAATAAAGTTCCTTCGAGTAAGAAATTTAAACAAAAGCAACCATAAAACAACTAACCCACGTGAAACGAAATTAGATCTGTGCAAGTGAAAACTTTGAAAAACAATTATTGAAATCTTAGTTTTAAGTATTATCCAACTCATTTACGGCAGTGTTTTAATTACTTAAGTAATTAAGCATTTTAAACAGTTAATCGCTTTCTAACATATTATTTTAGTGCAATTCACAAAATGTTTAATATTCAATGACATTTTCATTCAAAAAGAAGAAGAGAAATTAACAAATTTAAAAAAAAAATATTAAACTTTAGAATTTTTTTTAAAGTTTAAAAAAGCCCGTGCAAGACCATCTAGACGGGCGGCCCTCATAGCCCGTCAAGTCTATTTAAGACGGGCTTTTCATAGCCCGTACGGTTTTTATTCCTGCCGAAGCCTGTATATATATATATATATACATATATATATATATATATATATATATATATATATATATATATATATATATATATATATATATATATATATATATACATATATATATATATATATATATATATATATATATATATATATATATATATATATATATATATATATTATATATATATATATATATATATATATATATATTTATATATATATATATATATATATATATATATATATATATATATATATATATATATATATATGTATATATATATATATACAGGCTTCGGCAGGAATAAAAATAGGAATATATATATATATATATATATATATATATATATATATATATATATATATATATATATATATATATATATATATATATATATATATATATATATATATATATATATAAACATCATCATGATCAACATGATCATTGTCATCATCAAGCATTAGCCTCCTTTTTTATGCTGTTTCTCTAATATATCCTTATATTGTTTATTTCTTAACTGAAGCTTGTTCATATCATGAACAAGGCAGGTATGATAGCTTTTATTCCTTATTGTTGGTTTCAGGTCATACCTCATTCTACTTCATGTTTCATCTTCTTGTGCAGTTGGTATATTATGTTGCAATCATTTTTTTCATTTTTTTTTTACAAAAATATCTCTCGAGAACAAATTTAGTTTCTTTTTTTATTGCAAGAAATAATGTAAAAATATCCTAAGTTCTAAAGACTTTTGGAAAATCTTTAACCCTGTCAAAGTCAATCATTCCATATCTAATTTATGTGTCTGATCTTATTACCTCTCCCAAAGATAAGGCAGAACGTTTTGCAAAGAACTTTTCCTCTAATTTGACTCTTAAATCTAATGGCTGAACTCTTTCTGTCATTCCAGTTAATCAGATTAACCTGTTGTTAGACATTAAATTACTAAGCCTTCCAATGCTAAAGTCAATTCTTAATCAAATTCTGCATGGTCCAGACAACATTCCTATCATTGTATTACAAAAGTTTTCTCCAGAACTCACTTTATTTATTTTTAAACTATTAATAAGTGCTAAATAAGTGGTTCCAATTTTTTAAAATTGTTCAATTTTTATGAATATCCTCCAATTAGTCTCTAGTTCTCCAATAATTATTAGTTTTTTTTATATAAAGTTTTTGAGATTATTAAATCGGATGGCGGTCATGTTTTTTTTAACCGTTGAAAAAAAAAAAAGGAAATAAAGAAAGAAAATCAAAAACTGAGTTTATTGTCAATTGTTAAAATAAAGATTTCAAAAATATCAAAAGAAAATGAAGAGTAAAAAAAAGTAAGTCATATTATAAACAAAGAAACACTTAAAAAGTAAATACTCAAAATTAACACTTAAAAAAAGAAAACAAAAGAAAATTCAAACATCGATTAGTACTAAATCGCTACCAAAATAACAAAAGATTATTATTTTTTAATAATTTTTTTTTTGTAGAAGTTTTTTTTTTTTCATTTTGTAGTTTTCATTGTGTTTTTTCATTTTGTAGTTTTTGCTTTCATTTTGTAGTTTTTGTATTTTTTCATTTTGTAGTTTTTGCTTTCATTTTGTAGTTTTTGTGTTTTGTCTTTTCATTTTGCATTTTCATTTTGTAGTTTTTGCTTTCATTTTGTAGTTTTTGTGTTTGTCTTTTCATATGCGTAAAGTTTGTTTTTATCTATTTTTGTCTGCTGTTGTTATTAATTGAGTGCTTTTATATTTTTTGTCTTATTATTTAATTTATTATAGCTTTATTGTTATTATTATTTTTAAATTATTTTAATTTACACATGCTTTTATTTATTTTTATTGCTGTTTTGTTTTTGTTTTTGTTTTTTGTTAATTTTATTTAAGCACTACATTGACTAGTTTTTTACTATATGAGTGACACCTAACCTAATTTTATAAAATTATAAACTTGTAATTTTTCAATTTTTGGTTGAAAAAAAAAATCATTTCTTTCTAAACAGAGTATTAAAGTCATCCTCAAACACTCTTTTATATTTCTAGTAACCTCTGAGGTACCGCAAGGTTTATCTTTGCTCCTGTATTGTTTTTTATCTACATTAACAATCTTCTTGACAATCTCGTCTAAATTGGCTCTAGTAGTAAGGTTGCATCTCTTTTTTTTCTTTAAATAAGTATTAGAGGATTTGACACCAAGCCATTATGATCACTAATTTTACACTCCCTAATTTGGATGCTTGTTGTAGTTAAGAAACTAAATTATAAATCTTTCTGTTTGTTCTGTTTGTTATAATATAATACAAATATGAGACTGTAAAATAGGCAATAAAATAAAAATAAAAAATAAAATATATATATATATATATATATATATATATATATATATATATATATATATATATATATATATATATATATATTAATATATATATAAAATTCTAGTTTCACATTACGTTTCTGTATTTCTGATGTTTCACATCATCTTGGTGTTTTCTTGAAGTTTATTAAAACAAACAGCATTTTACCAATTTTTTCAAGTTTAATTGGGTGACAGGAATAGTGTCAAAAACTGAACTTCAGAATAGTGTCAAATATATTAAAAAGACCTAATGTTGCAAAAAAAAAAATGAATAGTATCGCAAATAGTAAAGACAGAAAAGCGTTGCAAATAGTTAATTTCAGCAATTGCTTACTCGTTTTGCCTATCTTTATAGCATTTGGCTTTTACAGAATAAAAAACAAAAAAACAAAAAAAACTAAAAGCTACCAAACCTTAAACCCTCAGTCGATGTAGCGGCACTCCTTTGTGGCAGCAGACTATAAGATAGTTGGTGTATGTACTTGTTCGATGGATAAAGTCTTCTTATATTGTTTTATAACCCTTCCAACTGTAAAAAGAATTTATATAGGAATAGGATAGGAATTTATATAGAAATAGATAAGAATTTTAGTAGCTTTTAAAACTCGTTTGTAGTTCCATGATGGAATTGTGCAAGATTTTTTTCCGATTTTCAAATTCCTTTGATGACATTTTAATAAATTATAATTTGAACATCTTTTTTTTATGTTTTTTGACAACTATTATCATTACATGATTAAAATGTTATTGTTTTTTTTTTAATGTGCTAGTAATCTATTTTTAAAGTAGTTTCTGCTTCTCATTTCTTTTAAACTCTTTTATTTTATAAAGTCATGCACTGCACAATGATGCTTAGTGTAAGCAAAGAAAAGAGATATGGATAATAGATAGAACAGAGATGTCAAACACATTCATATATATGTTTGAGCTACAATTAAATTATTTTTTGATTGCTATTGTTTAAAAAAATGAAATTTGGTATAACAAATAAATAAAGTCTCTAGCTACCATTTTGTGTAAGGCAGTTAAAAAACAGAACTCCTAAAGTTATGTACTACACATTAGATTAAACTAAGAACTAAGCTTAAGATTTTAGGATTTATTATTATTTCATTAAAAATTTGAATAGAACATGCGATAAATAAAAAGAATGTATTTTTTTTTAATGCAAAAATTACAGTTTAAATAAAATGTTTTTTCTTTTATGGCAGGGACATTCAGTGTTGTCTACTTAGCAAGGTTACGTGAAGATAAATCACAAATGTATGCAATCAAGTATTTAGTACCAACTAGTTCTCCAGGGCGGATAGAAAATGAATTGCTTTGTCTTCAATTGTTGGGGTAGCTGTGTTTTTTTATTACTATTAAAACATTTAAAAGTGTCTTAAAATGATTTATATATTTTATTAAGAAATTTAAAGTATAATGGAATGTAATGTATATCAAAAAATGGAGTATATTGAAATGTTGGACAATAACAAAAACAATAGATTTTTTTAAAAATGTAAATCCACCTTTACCAAGGTTGAGGGTGCTACTACAGTCAAGAACTTTTTTTTTTTTTATTGTGGTTACAACTCTCTCTCTCTCTCTCAACTCTTTAACTTTTAAACACAAACTTTGACAAACTTGCTGTGCAGAGAAACAAGTTGAGTGTGGTACTACCAGGGACATCTCAAAATTTTTTTGGCTTAAAATCACTTTTCCTAATGGTTTCTGTAAAGTTCTGGGTGCAGATTCACAAAACTTTCGTAAGCATAAATTTAGTGTAGGTTTGGCATAAGTTCTAAACTTAATAATATTTTCGTATTCACAAAACTTGCGCAGTTGCTAAGCACAAAACTTGCGATATATTTTTCGTAATTTCGTTTCTTAAATTATGGTATTCACAAAACATTTAAAGAAAATGGTTAGCTAGATCAGGGTTGCCACTCAACCTGGAAAACCTGGAATACCTGGAAATAGCATGAATCCCAAGGAAAAACCTGGAAAACTCTGGAATTTTTTTAGAATTTCAAAAAAATTCAGGAAAACACAGGAAAATTAATTTTTTTTTTTTAATTTTGTACAATAATTTTTTTTTTCAAAAACATTTTTCTGATGTGGGTGTTGTTGTAAAAGTTTTAGTTTGTCAAATATAAAGATTGTGTTTAATTAAGGAAAATAATAATCTTGTTGATGAACATGAAAGAATATAGAAAAGTCAGGGAAAACTCAGGGAACTTAAGAGTTCAACTCAGGGAAAAACGTTCTTTACTCAGGGAATACTCGGGGAAAACTCAGGGAAAAACTTTAAAAATTATAGTGGCAACTCTGTAGATTTAAGCAAGAAACGTTGTGTTAGGTAAGAGCTACCTTTGGCGTAACTTTAAAATGATATATTGGATTTTTTTTGTATAAATTTGTGATAAGATTTTTTTTAGTTTGTGATAAATATAGTGTATAGTATATAAATTATTGTATAATTTATACTATAATTTATTTATAGGGACATCTTTATACTATTTATACTATAATTTAATGGTACACTATATTTACCAAAAATTTTAAAAAATCTTATCACAAGTTTTAACAAAAAAAATTGATCTATAATTTGTTGGTTGCACTACTATTTGTTTAATTTTTGCTGAAGTAACTTCATACTGTGATAAAATGTTGTACAATTTAGTCTATACATTTTGATAATTTGTTAGTATATGTATAAAAGATGACAGAAATTCTAGTTTAAAAAAATGTCTTTTCTATTAGAATAATGTTTGTTTGTGTGTGCCTATAAATAAATAAGCTGTAAATTGGTGCTACTAAAACTTTCAGTCTAAAGGGAAAAAATAATATTCTAAATATTAAGTTCAATAAATTTATGTTTATTAAGATTAAGTTAAGTAGTTTTTTGTTTAATAAATATATTTATAATGTATAACTTGGAGAATTAAAGTTAGTTTTATATTACCTTTTTAAATTGAACATAATTCATGTGTATATATATATGTATGTATATATATGTGTGTGTGTATATATATATATATATATATATATATATATATATATATATATATACACATATATATATATACATATATATATGTTTATATATATGTATGTATATATATATATATATATATATATATATATATATATATATATATATATATATATATATATATATATATATATGTATATATATATATATATATATATATATATATATATATATATATATATATATATATATATATATATATATATATATATATATTTGTATATTTTATCATAGTTTATCCAATTTGTCAAAGTCAATTTTATGCCACTAACTAATAAATTTTTTCCACATTTTATTCATTATAAGGTATTAGTTTTTGGCATAACTTTTAATTCTTCCCATAAAAATCAGATAGGAGAGACATTTTGTGATTCAAGAGGCTAAATCATTCTATTCAATATTTGATCATTCTCAAACTTAGTCAGATAATATATACAATGTTCTGAAAAATATGTTTTGGATTTAAGCTTTAAGTGTCCAAATAAACTACTTTAGTTATTACTTCCTCTATTTTTATTATGTCACCTGTGGCTTTCAAAAACAACTTCACACCTTAACACTACATCTATCATGTTTTACAGTTAAAAATACACACTATTTTATTATACATTCAAATATTTTTTTTTTAAATAATTTTGTCTTGAAATTAAAGATTTAAAACTTATACACATTGCTCCATGTTTTAGACATTGATGGTCCATTTTTTTTATGTAGTTTTGCCCACTTTAACATTTTTATTATTCTTTTGAAGGATTTTAATCAAAATAATTTTATGTTTTTAAAATTTTTTAATACAGCAAAAATAAAAATAAAAAATTTGTAAATAAAAAAAAGCATTTTTAAAAAAAGTTAATATCATTCAAATAATTATGAGCGGTAGTGTACATCATATATTGATTTTTATTGAACTGCTTGAGCAATAATTCTCCACAAAAAAAAGTAAGGTTTTAGAAAATAGGGAGTAACAGATTGGTTTTTTTTGCCATAAAAATTACATAAGCAAACCATTTTACTGAGCTAAAATATTACTTAAATTCTTGTTACCTGTAGATTAAAAGCTAATGTTATCTTTTTTTGTTATTGATATTATAACTAGAGTATAATTCTTTATTGTTCCTTTTTTTGTAGTGGAGTATAAAATAAATATATTATTTCTATTGTACAATATAAAAACAATGTTTTGAGGAGAAGAAAAATTTGTGCTTCTAGAGTTTTTTCTAAAAAAAGAATGAAAAAAATTAAAATTGCCATTTTTTTCTTGAAATATAGATACTTTAGTAATGAAGAATCATCATTTTTTTTTTGCCTAACTTTACAATCTCAATCAACAATCTTATTGTCAATGATGAAGCTGTTTTCACGCTCTCACGGTAATCAAAATAAATTTAATAATCTTTTAATTGATGTTGATATTAATCTCTTGCCTTTGTTTGAACATGCTCTGATTTTAAGATAAAGTCTATTAACATGAATATAGATCATAATAAAAAAAAGGTTTAAGTTCTTTGTTGCTATTCAATTATACTGAGTGTTTATGGAACATGAAGTTCTATACCACTAAAAAAGTTGTAAATAAAATTTCTGATAGTTTTTTATAAATCTATATTTAGTAATTGCAATGCCTGAAATTTGAAAAGGACATTACAAAAGCTGTCGTTTTGTGAATTTGAGCATTTTTTTCAGAATTAAGGCGTTCAATGTGTTTTTGAACTATTATTACCTGGTAATGTTGTTGACAATATTGTTGAAACATGTGTATAAAGAAAAACCAGGACAGTCTGTTATAATTATGGACATAATGAAACCAATATTTATTGATTTATGATGAAAACATGTTAGAAAAGTGCCTTCATGAAATAAAAAGTTTGGTGTCTAAAAGATGTGTTAAACTAAATGTTTATTTAGAACTAATAACCCTGGTAAAAATTATATAACATTTTGAAATCAAAAAGTTAAAAAGTTAAAAATATAGCAAAACAAATCAAGTGATAAATTAAACCAACATTGGAAACAAATTAGAACAAAATGAAAATGTTAAGTTGACCAAAATAAAGATGGAATAACTTATGGAATAATTTCTGTATGGAACTTAAATAGTTAAATAAAGCTTATAAAAAACGTTTATATGTTTAGAGTAAAGCCTATATAAAAATAGATTACTTTTCTTCTATTGAGGAGTGATAGCAAATATTTAGAAATGAAATAAAAATTTCTTTTAATATTTTAACTTATTTTTTTCTAATTTTAATTATCTTAAACTGTTTTTTTTCTCAAAATGTAATTTTTTAACATGCTGCAATAAATGACTTGAGAACAACTTTGGTGCTTTGAAATTTTGTACAGTTGTAGTAAAATATATGATAAACTCTTTGAATCAATATATTTTATTTTGATTTTATTCTTGAGCAGAATTATGGGGTTCTAGAGTGAGCTGTTTCGGAATAAATTTTGGCCAAATAATTTATGCTACAACCTCTTCATGCTTTAAGCTAACTTCATGATTTTGTTCAACAAGTATCTTGTTATATTATAAGTAAACACTGAAAATTTGAGCTTTCATAGGATCTCATAAGTTTTGAGCTTTCATAGGATCATTTTCCGTAAGTTATGCAAGAGTTACAAGAGTTTTGTGAAAAGTTTTGTGGATTTTAATTTTAAATAATTAAAGAGCTATTGTGTTAAAGTGTTTTTGAGAGAGTCAAAATGGTGTGTTAACTATCCAAGATAGTGTGTAATTATTCAAAATGATGTGTTAATTATTCAAATGATGTGTTAATCATTTTTAGTACTTAAAACTTATGACCATGTAGTCGTTGTGGTGTAGTGGTAGAGCGTTCACTTCATAAGCGAGAGGTTCCATTCCCACCACGTCCGTGGCAGTACCATACTCAAGTTTTCTTTCCATGCAGCAGCCTTGGTTGTCAAGGTTTGAGTTTCGGAGGTATAGAGTTGAGAGAAGGTTATAACCACAATTAAGTAACTTTTTTGTCTGTAGTGGCTTTTTCAACCTTTGGGAGGTGAATTAACAAAAAAAAAGTGTATGTTTACAACTCCCATTTTGGGGTGGTGTAGTTTGGAAACTTTAAATAACTTTTAAAAGATTGTTAGATGAAACTCTAAAAGATTATTAAATGAAGTTGTAAATTTGTCAATATATATTGATTTAGTTTAAACTAGCATAAATCAATTACTCAGTAACTGACATTTAAGGGGCAGGTTCTAATTTTTTTTGTTTCCAGGCTCCAATTGTTGCTATATTTTGCAAAGCATTTTCATTTAACCATAAATATACTAAAGTTTAAATTTTGCTGGTGTGATCTTTGATATATTGTCAATTATGAAGTTGTTTTTATAACAATTTCTTTTAGTTTTTCAGTATTTTTTTTTTCTTTTCCATTTTTTATTTTGTTTTTTATTTTTTTATCTGTCTTATTTTATTCTATTCTTAACTTTTATTATTATTATTTTTTTAATCTTTTTAAATATTTTATTCTGTTTGTTTGTTTTTTTAGCGGGAAAAATAATGTTTTGCCTGTGAAGACTGTCATGCGAAATAGAGATCATGTTATTTTTATTCTCCCTTACTTCCCACATCAAAGGTTTTCAGTAAGTTGTAACTTGTTGTTTTTTTTTTTTTAAAAAGTGAGTTCGCGTTCATTTATGGTTTTAATTTATAGGATTTTGTAAAGCATATGACAGTAAGAGATATTCAAGAATATATGTGGAATCTGTTAATTGCATTGAAACATGTGCACAAGAAAAATATCATTCATCGGGATGTTAAACCAAGCAACTTTTTGTATAGTAAAGAATTAAAAAGGTTAGCTCATCAAATACAATTATTTATTCATTTTTACTAATAATCATTTATTATTAAAAATTTTTTTGTATCTATAAATGTTTTTGTGTATACTTTTAATAATTTATTTTATTACACAGTCTGGACAAAAAATGAATGAAAAAATTGTTTTGGAGATATTAGGAAATCTGATTCTGAGGGGTTTTTTGGTTGTTTACAAAATATTTTGCTTGGATCATATAGTTTTACGCTCAAGAGGCAAAAATTAAAAATATTTTTTAACTTTTTCTCTAAATTTTCTTTAGTAGTTGTTATTTATTAGTTGTTTCAAAAGTTATGCTGTAGTCTACACAATAAATAATTGATTTATGTTAATCACACTATTTTACCTATTAATAAAAAGATACTGAACCAGGTAAAAATTAGCAAGTTATATATAATCAGTTAAATTTTAATGGATAATTTAAAAAGTAATTAAGTGTGATGTGTTTAAGGAAGTAGTTGATCGTGATGAAATCCAGTTGAATGGATTTCATCATGATTAAATGGATTTCATCATGGTATGCAAATCAAAAAATTGATATGCATATCATGATGAAAAAGAATATCATAATAACTTTTGAGGAATTGCACATGGCATAAAGTTATATTAAACATTATGATGTGCAGTAAACAACATTATGATGTGCAGTAAACAACTGCCAAAAAAAAGAACACTAATATTTTTTATAAAAAAAAGCATTGGAGCAATTTTTGAATATGTTGTCCAAATATTTTTCAGTTGCTTAACCTGACCCAACCTTTTGACCCAACAGATGCTGGCTCAAAAAAAAGGAACGGTGGAATGAAAATTAAATGAACTTTTTTTGTTTAGACTTGTTAAAATAAAGTCCTAATCTTCGTCATTTTTAAAGTACTAAATGCAGTTCACTTGTAATAAATTAGAAATACTAAAATGAATCAATTTCTTTTTCTATGTAGCTCCCTTGTTTATCAAGATTTTTGTTTCTAAGTAAAAGTGATGAGAAAGGCTTGCAACATAAAAAAGTAATAGTGTAGTCTTCTTGTCTGTAGTGTCCCCCTCGGCCTGGGGGGAGGAGAGAGTGAATAAAAATGTATAAGTAAACTTATATATAAACTCGTATTTAGTGGTATTTGTGGTATTTGTATTTAGTGGTATTTGTGGTATTCGTATTTAGTGGTATTTGTCTTAAACTCATTTAAACTCGTATTTTGTGGTATGTCTTAATAATATGTAACACAACATGCATTAAGTAAAAATTCTAATCTTCTCTTAAATTAACACAAATAAATACGGATATTTTTTTTTACTAAAAGTACATCATGTTAAAACAATCAACATATTAATAAAATTCTATAGTGAAGCGGTACTTGCTTCATAAGCAAGTTTCCTTTTCACTGGTAGTAAAGTACTCAACTTCTTTGACATTGGCTTTGTTTGTCAAATTTTATAAATTAACTTCATAGAATTGAAAATTGGTTGTAAAATTTTTTTTTTTTTAATTCTTTTTTAACTGTATTAGAAGTGAATATATATATAATTTTTTAAAAACGTAATCGAGGTTAACTCTTAAGTATATGAATAGACATGATTCATACAAATTTTGAAAAACATTTTGCAATTACCCAGCATGCCTATTTTAGTATTTCTAACAAAATCCTTTAGAAAATAATATTTTACTGCTTTATTTTAACAACAAATGTAAAATTATAAAAAATTTGTAATATTAAATAAATAAATAAAAAAAGGAGCTACTTATTATTGTTTAATGTTATTTTAAGCAGAGATGAATTAATATTGATGTAGACACATGAAAGTTAATTTAAAATATACCTATAGTACTAAAATTAGTTTATTTAGGTCATTTTTATGTTTCTAAAAATTACAGTTTTTCTTATTGTTGCATGATTTAAAAAGTATCATTGTAAAATGTTATTTTAACCATGAATTTATTTGCATAATCGTGAAAATGGAGCTAACATGTTCAAATTGTTGTTGGTCAAATTTTGTACTAAATAAAATATATATTTCAAGAAAATAACAAAAGAACTTTTGCATGATAACATGATAAAGTTTTGTTTTTTCTCAAATTTAGTTAAAAACTTAAGTTTTTAATTAATATATATATGCAAAAGAATATTAAATGTTATATTTTTACATTTAAACTTTTGAATAACGATGCTTAGTTAAAGTTACATGCATTTACTAAGATTCTGCGCTTTTTTGTTAAGTTTTTGTTTACAAAATGAATTACAAAATGTCATTACATAATTCTTATTTTGTTGCTTTGGTTTGCCAAGGTTTTAACTGAAACTTTTTATATTAGGAGAATTTAGAAAAAAAATCTTTTTTTTTTTTTTTTAATGTTTAATTAAAATTATTTGTATTGTTTTTTTATTTGTTTATGTATTCTTATTTTGGTTTACAAATAAATATACATAAATAAATAAAAATAAGAATTATATATTTTTATTTAGACATTAAAAAAAAAGTCAGAAGTTTTTTTTATTTTTGTTATAGTAAAAAAAATCTTTTGTAAATACAATTAAAGGGGGTCATTCGTAAAGCACATTACCCTATATTTATCAATTCCTAACCTCTTTCCTCCTGTCACATATGATCACATATCCCTAAACCCCCTCTTCCTCCTGAACTCTGATAGCAGTTTTTATGTCAAAAATATTTCAAAAGATTTATTGGTATAGAATTCTCAACATCTTGTGAAATTTTTTGAAAATTTTTTGAAAATTTTCACTGGTTCACAAAAATCTCACCTAAAAGTTTAAGCAATATTTTTACCTTGTAACGTAAGTTTTTCTTTGTAACGTAAGTTAAGAGGAATTTTCGATAATAAGTTCACCCACTTTTGGCCAGGCTCAAAACTTTTCAGCATATTTTATTCATTAGACTGACAGCTTTCATACAAAATAGCTAAAAGTTTAATTTACAGTTAAGTAGGCAAATATTTGATAAAGTTTTTTGCGCATGTAATGTAAGTTAAAAATGGAATTGCCCATATATATGATATATAGATATATATGAAATCTGAAAACAAAAATATATAAAAATAAAGAATTAAAACTTTTAATTATATAGCCTATAATTCTTTATTACATTTAAGAAACATTAAAGTTTCAAGCAACGAATCAGACATAGAGCTCTATGACGGCACATTATTAATCCACTCTGACAAAAGATACCGCTTGACAGGAGCTGACATTGCAGGGATACAGAAATACCTATCAAATACAGATTTCTAATTTTTGAATATTGTTTCATTGTGTATAGTTTTTTTTAATGAAAAATCTTTTTGATTAAATTCTAGTGATTGATTCCTTCTTGTTTTTAAAATATGATTTTTTCCTATTATTTGCAAAAAAGCTTTTTTTTTTTTTTTTTTTGGTAAAGGGCTTTTGAATTTGAGGTGTAACATTATTTTTAGTAGAAGTGGTTTCTAGTGTTGTTCGTGTGACCAAACTATCAAGTTAAACTATTGCTTATTGGTTCAAAAATTAATTTTATAAATAAAATTATTAAAAAAAACTCTATTAAATATACATTACTAACACCTTTTTTAAACAGAATTCAAAAAACCTTTAAAATTCTTTTTTTAATTTTAAGAAAAAATCACGCGTTTAAATTTTATTTTAAATTTTGGAATGTTTTAACTAATAAAAAATGTTAAGATAAGTAATGTGACTTAATGTATAGATGTAATAAATTCCCATTAACCAATCATGTCATTGATAATTGCTTTAAAAATGGCTAGCCAAAAACGGAAATTTAAACTGTGACATAAATCATAAAATTAGGTTCTAAAGCTTTCAAGTAAACAAAAATAACTCTTGTAAACAAAATTAACTGTAGTAAAATTTTTAAAATGCAAGCGCAAAAGGAAGTTCTGAATTCTTAAAGCAAAAGTGGCAGACCAAGGCTAAGATCAAGGCCAATGCCTAAATTTTTGGCTTTAAGGCGAGTCCAAGACCAAGGACTAACAACTCTGATTTTAAGTTGTTTTTTATGAATTTTTATCAATTTATTTATTTTTAACTTAGATTTTTTAATTTTGATAAGATTTGCTTTAAATTGCAAAAAAGTTTTAAAAAATAAGTTACAGTAAAAGAACAAGTGAAATGAGTTTAAATAAAACAGTAACTAGTGACCATTTTTTATAAAAAAATTTATAACACTAATACAATAATACTAATAATACAATTATGTAATGACAGACTTTGACAACTGAAATTTATCTGCTAGTAATATATTGAGTAAATGATTTAGAACAAAATTTAGAACATATTACCTAAATAAAACTTGCTGCATCTTTGATTATATTTATAAGAATTTATTTATACGATTATAAAAATAAAAAAATGAATATGTTGAGTATGTAGAAATGAATATGTAGAAGTTAAAAGAATTAAATACTAGGAAATTGCTTTGCTTCGAAGTTTTAATGAATTAAACGAAAAAAAAAGTAAAAACAAAATATACAAAGATTGTACAGTTTTTATAATTTGATTGAAAATATTAATGCCTTTTAATTTCTTGGGCAATATGTTTTCAAAATTTTCTTTAGAAAATCATATTCATACAAATAGTTTAAAAAACAAAAAGTTTTCAAAAAGTTTTCGGGAAATTTTTTTGATCTTAATAGTAATTTTATGTCGTTGAAGTCTGATAACTTTATAAAAAAAATATTGATTTAAATTTATTGGGTTTGTATAAATATCCAATCATATTTAAAGGGGTTATTTAATTGGATATTTATTGAGAAATTTAGTTGGGTATTATATAAATGGTTTAGTTGAATATTGAAGTAAAATAAAAATAGAAAAATAGTTGAATATTGAAGTAAAATAAAAAATGAAAAGTAAATATTTATTTTATAGATATCTTTAAATTGTAAATATTACTTTATAATAAACAGATAATATATGAATTGCTAACTTGAAAATGGGGACATAACACAAAAATTTTTTTTTTCAGAAACTAACAAAAAACTGTATTTAAGATATAAAACTGTATAATTATATAAAAATCTCAATTAAAAAAAAAATGCGATCCCCTTTTTCAAGTTAGCAATTCATATAGTTAATCAATAAAAATGCAGTGAGTATTTACAAATAGTAAAAGTTATATTTATATAACTTTCTATACTTATATACTAACTATATTTATATAACAATATAACACAGTTTTTATTGTTGTTTAAATTTTTATAAAAATTGAATTTAGCGTCTAAATATTTTTTAAGTAAATTTCCAGTCTAAATTTTTTTTTAAGTAACAATCAAGTCTAACTTGTTACAACAATTTGTTGAAACTTTTTGGTCAGTTTTTTCTTTACTAAAAAGAAAAATTTATAAGTGAGATGTTGAGTATATGTAGAGTAAGTTAGTATATGTTGAGTAGGTGAGTAAATATTTTTTTGTTATCTTTAATCTTTATCTTATGTAATCTAATCTCCTGCATCCTTCAAGTTTGTTACTGTATCTATTAGTCTGTTACCATATCTATCATTGTGTTACCATATCTATCAGTCTGTTGCACTATCTATTAGTATGTTACTGTATCAATCAGGCTGTTACTGTCTATCAGCCTGTTGCTGTATCTATCAGGCTGTTATTGTATTTGTTGGTACACTCAACTTTACTGAAGTAAATAGAAATTTAAAAAACTTTGTTGTTGTGTCTAAAATGTTTCATAAAATGACTGTAATTTACATAGAATTAATGGGTTGATTTGTTTTAGACTTTTAAAGCTAGAAGTTTACCTATAATCAATGTCATAAACTTTCAAAATCGTTATTAATTGTTATATTTTCAGATATACCTTAATTGATTTTGGTCTTGCTATGTCAGTTCCTGGTTGCAAAACAACTTTGTTGAAAGGTATGCATTATTACATATTTTTTAGTTATGCACTATTACACACAAGGAATTTACATAAAAATGATTATTTCTTGAATTTACATAAAAATAATTATTCCTTGAATTTACATAAAAATAATTATTCCTTGAATTTACATAAAAATAATTATTTCTTGAATTTACATAAATATAATTATTTCTTGAATTTACATAAAAATAATTATTCCTTGAATTTACATAAAAATAATTATTTCTTGAATTTACATAAAAATAATTATTTCTTGAATTTACATAAAGATAATTATTCCTTGAATTTACATAAAAATAATTATTTCTTGAATTTACATAAAAATAATTATTTCTTGAATTTACATAAAAATAATTATTTCTTGAATTTACATAAAAATAATTATTTATGAATGTAATAAAAAATAAAAGATTATTCTTTTTTATATATAATTTAATCTTTATGTTATTTAATCTTTATGTTATTTAGACTATACTGTTGTGTCATCTACACCTTTAACTGCTGAAAAATCAGTAAAAGAGAGCGGAATACAAAAACTTGGTAAAGTATGCAAACATCCAACATCATATATATGTATTGTTTGTAGACAAAGGTGATAGATATAGTTAATTTCTTTTTTATTAAATTTATTGTAAACTTGTTTATTGTAAACTTATTAAGCAAACAAAAAGACTTTTGTGATCTTTATGATATTTGTTTTTGTGATCTTTTGATCTTTATTTTTTGCATTTTAGACCACGCCAATGTGCTCCTCGTGCTGGTACATCTGGGTTTCGTTCTCCAGAGGTTCTGGCTCGTTACGCTAAACAAACAACTGGTACTGTCTTGATTATTATTAAAAATATAAATAATACTATAATGCATAATAATACAAACATAAAATTATTTTGAGAATAGTGATTTTGCTGAATACCGAATATTTTCGCTCAGCCAAAACACAAAATATTTGGCCGCTGAATATTTGGTGACACTAAGTTAACTTTGAAGATTTCGATCTACTTCATTGAAGTGGATACGTTATCTAGGCTGTGTGCGTTTATGTTTTATTTGTGACTAGGCTGTGTCACAGCACACATTATTTGTTGAATGACATCAAATTGTTTTTTCTATAGTTATGTATAAAAATCATACTCCTCAAACCAATTAAAAAGGTTACAAAAATAAACAGCTCAGGTATGTCTTGCATTTCTAACATAATTTGAGAAGTTGCTATTGATAGATGTATCACAAAGAACTCTAAACTTATTAAAAATTGTATCTTCTCTACAACCTGATCTTTGAGTTTAACTTATGGTTTACCTATAATGGAAATGTCAATTATATGGTAGCCTTTTTTATTGATGTACATTTTTAAAATAGTTTCAAGGGGTCAGTTAAAACACAAAGAGCAAAACACCAAAAATGTTTAAAAGCTCTGACAAAGATTGATTCAGTAAAAGGGTAATCTTTCTCAGTGAAAGGTTGCTTGACACTGATGAACTCGTGCCAAGTAGCATCTGCAATGATTCATCTCCACTTTGTGAGAAAAAGTAATGTAAATGAAAATGGTCAAATCAATATCTTAAAAAAATAAGCAAACATATAAAGATGTTGAATAGAAAAGTCCAATTGCAAATTAAATGTCAGCAAGTTGCAAATTATGGTCAGCAAGTGCAAAACAACATCGTAGCAGAACTTGATAAAATTTTCTTATTATTTGCCGGTGGCATATCTCTTTGTAACTAAAGTTACTTAATATTTTCTAACAGCTTATAACATTTCACTTTTTTTTTAAATTAATTTACTTTTAATTAAACCATTTCTTATTAAATGCTTTTTAGTATTCAGACGTTTAAATTTTTTTTTAGTATTTTCACCCAAGAAAAAATACGGAATAAAATAATTATATCGGACTACTGATTATAATAGCGGACAACTCAAATATTAAATTTTATATTAAATTTTATGTTTTTTAATGTGTTAATTTTAACAATTTTTGTATGTAAATTTTTTTTATATTAGAATTCTATTATTTTTTGTATTTTTTACTAATGTTTACTTTAAAAAATGTATGAAATTGTTTTTGTCAATTTCAAATTTAAAAAACTTTTTAAAGATTCACTTTTATCTTTGCGTACTTAGGTTTGTGTCATCAATGACACAATTCTAAATATTATTGATGTCCTACTGAAATAGCCAATTTCAAAGCCTTTATTACATACAACAGCAACACTCTAAATAGTTAGCTGTTGTGTGGGTCATTGTGTAGTTATCAACCAATAGAAAAATATCTTTGTTTGTTTAGTATGTTTTAGATACATGAAAATCATTGTTATCTAGAGTTTCTACATCACTAATATAAATGATTGATTGATGATTTAATAACTAAATGATTGCTGTGCATTTAAAGATGCTTATATAAACCGTTTGTAACCAAGAATTGCAACTCCAAAACCCAATATCATAATACCTACCAAAGTCTATCCACTTTGCAAAACTCTAGTTAATTGATTGAAATTACATTCTGGAATGTCCTGCTAGACCTTTTCCACAACTAACACAAATAGTTTTTTGTTTTTTTTAATAAACTTTGTTGCTAAATATTTCAATTTTGTATTTAAGATTTAAGTATATATAAATACATCAATTTTGTTCAGATTACCATTTAAATGTTTCAATAAGAATGAAATTATGGTGGAAAAAATGTTTTGTAGAACAAAAAATGTTTTATAGAACATAAAGTTAGTGTAATTTTTTTAGAACATAAAAATAGTATATATTATTACGAAAAAATAAATTTTAAAAATAGTATCATAATATATCAATGAGCAATACGTACAATACTTTTGAAATTGCAATTTGACTCATTGGGTGGGTTTATGTTCCTGTTTAAAAATTTTATGAAATAAAATTCTTGTAATAACGAAAAATATAAAAAAAGTTTTTAAAGTTATTAGCACATTTTATTACAAAATAAAAAAAAAAAAATTGTCATAATTTGATTTGACATATGTCGCGGGTTTATGTCTCTGTTTAAAGATTTTTTGAAATAAAAAACTCTTGTAATAATAAAAAACAGTACAATGTTTTTTTTAAATAAAGCACATGTTCTCCATGTTGTTTGTGCAAAAACTGAAAATGACATTTTCAAAGAAAGAATACATCTGCTTACCTATGACATAACTTAACTTTTTTAATAAGCCATCCAGCCATGTGTAAAAATGCTTGATCCTTTGGTTGCATTTTCCAGTAAACATATAAAATGATCCTGGATGAAAATAAGATATTCCTTTAGGTATGTTATTTTCTATTTCAAAAATTTCACAATTAGTTTGAGAACAACACTTCATAAAATCATTTAGATCAAAAGTTGTTTTAAAATTTGAGTCCTTAATACAGTTGCTATAGGATTTGCTTTTTTCTACTGATAAAACTAATAAAGCATTTCTATAGGCAGCTCAAAATTGTCTAACATTAGGACAGTCATTCCAACACCTTTGCTTCTAAAAATGGAAAAAAAAATTTCAAACCAGTCCTGATTAAAACGAGATGTACAAACAAACTGAAAACCTTCAGAAAATAGCTCTCTACTTAAGGTTAAAACACTATTAATTGTAACCCTTGAACCCCAGCGACATAATATATTTGCTTGACTTCTAACATTACAAAATTTCCATTTCTCAGTCCAATACTTTAACTTTTCCAACTTTTCCAACTTTTAAAGTTAGAGCACAACAAGCTGGTTTATCTTAAGGTTAAAACACTATTAATTGTAACCCTTGAATATAATTTATATGAATTCAATATATCGAATAAACTATTAATGCGTTCAACAAATCTTGCTGTTGGTAATACACTCAAAGGAAGTAAATTTGTATTAGAGCAACAATAATGTAGAAGCAACCTGATAACTAAAAACTTGAGTGGCAAGTTTGACCTTCATAGATAAAGGAAGACCAGGGTCAGAGACTGGATGTGTTGCCAAGAAATCATTTCATCATCAACGTCAATGTAATGTCTTTGTAAATTGTGTCTGATGATCAAGCAGATTCATTCTATCAGCACATAACTTTAATTAAAAAAAAAATCAAGTAGAAAACCCTTCTTGGATATCTGAAAATACATGAGAAAAAAAAAAAATAAACAAGTTTGACTTGTTAAACAGAATATTGTTTGCAAAACATTAAAAGTTTGAGGACTATGAAACAGAATTCTCAAAGCCAAAACTTCTCACAAACTGACCAGCATTTTCCTTTATAGGCTTGTTTACTCATTTCTAATTGACTTCTAAAAAACAAAGGACTTGCTATTTCGCTGGAACTGAATGACGTTCAACTGGTGGATTTTGTGTAAAAAATCTTTTTTGTTTAAATCTTTCCTATGACAGTTGATCACTGTTTACATATAAAAAATAAACCATTTACTTCTTCTCCTGATTCTGGATTGTAAATATGGAAACCATATTTACAATCCAGAATCAGGAGAAGTTAATGGCAAGCATCTTTTTCTTGTTATATAATTTTTTTCCTGATTCCATTTTCTACCTCTATAAATCTTTTATTTATTTTTGTAATGAAATACTGTTATCATCCTTAGGTTGATTCATCTAATGAAATTAATAATCTCTTTTTCTTTTAACATGATTCAAAAATGCATGGTATATGTTATTAGACCTATTCTATCTGCAATCTACATCTCTCTCAACCAAAACTCTGCCTAGTGTGACTTATCATTCAGCTAAGTTGCATCCTTTTAATGTAACTGTTCTTTTCTGCTCAAAAAATCTTATCTATCTTCCTCAAACTATTATCATCTTCCTCAAACTATTAACATCTATGCTTTTGAATTCTCCCCCATCTTCATGTTTTTTTGACTTGTACAATTTTTCAAATGTTCTGTCGACTGTTTTTTTGCTCTTTAAATCTTTTCTTTGTTTTCTAGTTCCAATTTTTTTTTCGAAAAACCTCTAGACCAAATGGGGTTTTTTGCCATTAATAACCTGATTGTGTTTTAATTACAATTTTGGTCGTTATAATTTTAAAAAAATGCTTTTGCACAAATGTTTTTATGAAGACAATTATTTTATTAAATTAAAACAACATCATCATCAACAAAATGGCTGACATTTTGTTATTGTTAAATAGTAATACAATTATGAGAGTAATTATATTAATATTAGTATAACCATAACTGTATTTGTAATAAAAATAATAATAATAAAAAAGATGTCAGTTAATTGATAAAATCACAGTGATTACATTATCTAAATCTCTTGATACCAGTTCATCGCAACAAGCATTTTGGAATAATTGACTGGAGTAAATACCTAAATCCTTGAGCAGTGAAAAATTGAGCAGAGAAATTGCATTGAAAAAAAGAGACTAATAAACTTAGTCATGCAGTGGATCATCGGACACGATGATGGATCATAATTTACTCATCATTGGACACGATGATAAGCAAATTGTGATCCACTGCATGATCATTATCAAATAAGTTTCATTTTTAGTTTTATATATTTTAAATAGAATGGAACAAAAGTCTTGCATTTTGCATTACACCTGGCTTATGAATTTTGAATATTCTCTCTGCTGGTAGTCATCCCTAAAGGTAAATAAGATTTAATTCTATTAAGTCAAAGTAATCTTCTTGTGGAAATGTTTTCTTGTTGAGGCATTTAAGAAATAAATTTGCTTGATAATATCTTTTGGATTTGATGTCATGAGGCCACTTAGAAAAATTAAAGTTTGAGTAATCGATATCAATTCTTAAAAATTTAGGAATGGTTTAAAAAGAGTCTCTTCTGGACTCTCACTATTTCCTCATAATGAGGCAAAAAGCAGAATTAATTTAGCTGGAAAATAAATTTAAGCCTGCAAGTTAAAATTTAAATTAATTTATTTGATAACAACAATAATAAATATACTTAATATATATAAAAAATGAATATATAAAGTACCTGTTATGAGATACACTTATAACAACTGCTACGCATTTTTCATTATGAGCTGTGGCTAAATGTTTAGAATCACAGCACAATGGTAAGTTTTTAATAAAACTCAATTAAATTTAACACTCAGTAAGCTTTAATTGATAAAACTCAATTAAACTTCTTTGGTGATGATGATGTCATTATTCTTTGATGATGATGATGTCATTATTCTTTGGTGATGATGATGTCATTATTCTTTGATGATGTTGATGCATATCATTAAGTTGACTTGCTCTTTTGCAAATGATAGTGGACTAAAATAGAAATGTTGACTAAAATTAGTGGACTAAAATGTTGGTGAATTAATAAGCAACATTTTTGCCACAGATGCTGTAACTTCTGAGATCTGATTTTCTGGTACTTCAAAAAATTTGTTAAAGACAAATTTTTTGAAGTACCAGACCATTTTTTTCTTTGAAAGCAAAGGAGTAAATTTCAAATGGCTATGATCTTCTTCATCAGACCTATCTTCTTCATCAGAGCTATCTTCTTCATCAGAGATATCTTCCTCATCAGCACTTTGACTTTTATTAGAACTATCAATTAACTCAACTGAACTTAGTTCACTCAGTTTTTGATCTTTGTTTGATTCTAAAATGTTTGTTCAGTCTTGCTTCTTCTGAAAATTGTGAAATACTTATATCAACACTATTGGTTATGTGATATTTTTTTTCAACACTGTTAGTTATGTGATATTTTCTGCTACTTTTCTGATCTTCATAAAATGCCCTATCCTTTTTCCATTTTGGTTTTCTCAAGAACAAGATTAAAAAAATTTCTTTTGTATTTTTACCTTTTAAAACAGTAATATTTATCAATTTAATCAATTATATCAATTAAAAAAAAATACATGACTTTTTTAGAATTTTAATTAATTTTAAGGTTATTTTTTAACATATCAACTTAGCTCATTGATATAATATCTTTGCCTTTTTTACAACTTTTTTTTTACAAGCTTATAAAATTTTAACATACAAATTTTTTATTTTACAAAGCAAACAACAACGCGTTGACTTATTGTAATCAGTTATGCATAATTGTGTTAATTATGAACATAATTAACAAAGTTATGCTTAAAAACATAACATACAATACTTAAACTTCCTTTTAAGCATTGAAATTTATACTAAGAAATTTATAGGTAAAAATATGCCATACTATTTATTATGACCACCTCTAAATAATAATATATATTTTATAATAACTTATGAAAATCACCTTTTTTTTAGATGGTGACCTAGAATTAATTTAAAGTTCTTGAAAAAGTTTTTTTACTTTATATAACCATTTTTTTTTTGTTTAGCTGTAGATATGTGGTCTGCTGGTGTGATTTTTTTATGCATGTTAAGTAGACGCTACCCTTTCTTTAAAGCTTGTGATGATATGGAAGCGTTGTCTCAAATAACTGCTTTGGTTGGCACACAAAAAATGACATTATTTGCTGAAACCATAGGTACATAAAGTTCATAGTTTTACTTTTCTTTCCCGCTTCTTTATTTTTTTAGTATTTCACGATCTTGTTCATCTTCTCGATTTTGTCAATTTTTTTTATGTATAATTTTAAAAGGTAAAGACTTTGTGTTTGGGCCAGTCCTAGAAGCAGTAGATCCTTACAAAGTTTTGTGTAATAAGCTAGCACAGCGAGTATGTCCTAAGCATACTCAGCTTGATTTGAATTTGCTTCAAGAACATCCAGAAAAAAAAGGAAAACGAAAACGTGAAGAAGATTGCGAATCGGACGCGGATATTAGTTATAAAAAACATGACATTTCTGAGAAGACATGTGAACAAACACGAACAAATGTTAGCTTGAATAATCAGGTACTTAAAGACGATAATTCCCCCAAAAACGCAAAATACACGAATACCAGTTTCAAAGATACTCAAACAATTGCAAATATTTGTTTTAAAAATGATCAAACACCAACGAAAGTTGATTTTAAAGATCAAACACTTATCGATCTCATAGGTAGCGAAAATGACAATCAAATTAATAATGACGGTTCACATAATTTAATAAAAACTTCTTATGTTCCAAAAGTTAGCAAAATAACGGAAATAAATCGAGAAGTTAAAAATCAAAATCAAGAAAATGATGCAGAAAGTAATGAATGTCTGTGTATTCCTGACAGTGCTTTTAATTTGTTAGAACGTTTACTGGAGTTAGATCCTCAGAAACGAATAACAGCCGAAGAAGCATTGCTTCATCCTTTTTTATCGGCTGTTAAAAGTTCGTCTAAACTAGATAAAACTTAAAAAAATAGGTGAAAAAATTAGCGTTTTGTTTTCAACTCATCGTTAAGCTGTTTTCTAGTAACAAAATACTTTCATTTTGGTTTTTCTTAAGTTTAAACTTTTTTATACTTAAATTTTTTAATGCAAAAAAGTTATTTCTTCTGATCATATTCCACTGAATATTTGAAACTTTATTCATACTTTATTTATATTTTGTAAATTGAATATTTTTATTCGTAATTACCAAATTAATTTTAAAAAGATTTATGAATCGTGATACGATTATGACACGTGATACGTGGCGCCTGTTTTTATTTACAGTACGTCCCCTCAGTATTATCTTGTTCTATCTATAAATGTAATAAATAAAATGTTCGATCTAAAATATAAAATGAATGCAAAAAATATATATAAATAAATTCAATGTTTTATGTAGTATAATATAATATTTACTATAATATAATATAATTATATCAGGTAGAACATTGTATTTATTTAAATACATATATTTTTTTGTATTTGTTTTATATATTAGGTGAAACATTTTATTTATTACATTTGTAGATAAAACACGATAATACTGAGGGGACGAATAGTCTATTCCTTTGTTCCAAAAAAACGTGTTAGTGACCTAAAACGGTTGACAATTAAGCAAGAAACTAAACATTTTATTGTTGCTTGTCACTTGTCTTTTACGTTGACACAAAGAAAGATGTCGTACGAATACGCGCTAGGCAGGTCCGTTTTTAGGTAAGAAAAACTATATCTTTGCTACCGTGTTTTCAATTTTATGTTTTTTTGTTTTCAAAGAGGAGTTTTTAAAAATATATTTGCATATAAAAGTTTTTATAAGTAAATATATTTTTTAAATGTAAAAATATTCCTGCTCGCCTTTGTTTACATCTTTTTAAAAAAATCTTTTTAAAAAAATTTTGAGCATTAAGTCGTCCATTCAATTAGTTACTAGAATTATTCTGGCTACCAATTGACAAATAGGAGGGGAAGGCTTGCATAAGTGTCTTATGAACAATAAGTAAAAACATGAATAAAGCATGTAAGGTCCTGATTTTAGTTCAGTCTCTAGATCTAATAGCGTACCGTTTTGGTGACACTTCCAAATAAAAAAATTTTATATTTTGATAAAATCAATAATTATGTTGAATTTTAAAAAAATTTAATATTTGGTTGAAAAAATCATAAAAATGAACACAGAAAGTGAGTGTTTGTGAAAGGTATATTTACAAAAATTAGGCACTTTTTCTTATTTTAGACAGAAAATGTGATGGTAGAGTGTTTTTATCAAATTTTAAAAGTTTAATTTTTGTGAAGAATTTTATGGGTAATTCGAATCTGCAAATATAATAATTTTTTGCTGCGGGAACTCTTAGTTTTGAACGGGAAAATGTCTAAGAAATAAAAAAATTTGTGAAACTTCTGGTAAATTCAATATAAACTATATTGAATTTTATGAAAATTTTATCCTTGATTAAAACGTTATAAAAATAACCACATAAAGTGGGCTTTTTGAAGTTTTCATCATATTTCAGACAGTGAATGTTATTAAAGGTGCGTTGTCTCTTGTTAGAACCTCCACAATCGCTAGAATCTCCACAATCGCTAGAACCTCCACAATCGTTAGAATCTCCGCAATTGCGAGAACCTCCACAATCGTTAGAATCTCTACAATCGTTAAAACCTCCACAATCGTGGCTCTTGGCAAAATATCAAGTCAGCTTGTTTTAATAAACTTTTAGGTATGACAAAGTTGTTAATTGAGTAATTAGTTTGGTATCTGTGGCTTATAGAAATAATTTAAGATTGGAAAGTGTTTGGTAGTATAAAGTTTTTTAACTTAAACATAAAAGTTGTATGTTAAGAATATTTACTACTGTGATCAAAAAGTAAGGTGAATTTTTAATTTGAACTTCCCGTCTTATTCGAATCGTCCAATCTTTTTTATTTTTAAGTTGGTAGGAATGTCATTAACATTTGCGCCAAATTACATGTTAAGCTCATAATTATTTTTTTTTTGTTTACGCTTGTTTCTGAAGTACCAAAAGTGCATTCGGCGATTTTCACGATGTCTAATTTTGTTGAGCAAAGAAGTGCTATTAAATTTTGTTTGCGGAATGATATTTCTGCTGCTGAAACGTATCAAATGTTGCAAAAGGCCTTCGGTGAAGAGACTATGTCTCAAAAAAATGTTTACAAGTGGTACAAAGACTTTAAAGAAGGCCGAGAACGTGTTGATGACTTGGAACGCTCCGGACGATCATCGACTTCGATTGATGATTGCCACATCAACAAAATCAAAGAATTGGTGCTTGCAAATCGTCGGTTAACCATTCGAGACCTTGTTGACATGGTTGGAATATCATTTGGGTCAGTGCAAGCGATTTTGAAAGATCATTTGGGCCTCAGAAGACTCAAATCACGTTTGGTGCCGAAATTTCTCAATTTCTTTGAAAAAGAGCGTCGCGTTAAAACGTGTGAAGCAATGCTTTCTGACTATCATGACGTCTACAAACAAATTATTACTGGCGATGAGACTTGGGTCTACGCATACAACCCTGAAACAACCGACCAATCGAGTGAATACTGTGAAAAAGGCGAGCCGAGACCGAAGCAACCACGTCAAAGTCGCTCAAAAATCAAGGTCATGTTGACTGTTTTCTTTGATTATTGTGGTGTCGTGCACTACGAATTCCTTCCAACTGGCCAAACTGTCAACAAGGAATATTATTTAAGCGTTATGCGACGTTTGCGTGAAGCTATTCGCAAAAAGAGACCGGAATTATGGGCCAATAACTCTTGGATTTTGCACCACGATAATGCGCCTTCGCACACAGCACTGGTTCTTCGTGAGTTTTTCGCCAAAAACTCTACCCATGTTGCTCCACAACCACCGTATTCGCCCGACTTAGCACCGTGTGACTTCTGGCTGTTCCCAAAGCTCAAGAGACCACTCCGGGGAAATCGTTTTGAGTCCATTGAAGAGATCCAACGTGAATCGGCACGCACATTGAAGGCTATCCCTACCGAGGACTTTTTGGCATGCTTCGAAGACTGGAAAAAACGTTGGCAAAAGTGCATTGGGGCCGGGGGGGATTATTTTGAGGGGGACGAAACAGATTTGGAAGAATAAATAAAGATTTTTCATTTTATAAAAAAATTCACCTTACTTTTTGATCACAGTAGTATTTTGAAGACATTAAGCACTCCAAGTTCTCTTAGTAGAGGTTTGACACTGGTGTATCTGTTTACGTTTAATATTAAGCAACATTCATGATTTTGTTTTTTGTAAATTGCATTTAACTTTGTTGGATAAGTACTTGTCCAAATTATGTTACAATAATTGATACAGCTTTGAAAAAAAGAGAAATAAACTTTTTGAACAAGTTGTTTTTGGAAGATGCTTTGATTTATGCATAATTCCAATAATTTTAGATATTTTCTTTTCCACTTTTTGATATGATTACGCTAACCGTTTTATTAAGAATTATACCTAAAAAGTTGATCGAGTATTCTCTTTTAAGTTTAGTTTTAGTCGATAAGCAGTTTAGGAAGTTTTTAATAGAGATTTTGAAAAAAGACTCTATTTGCTTTTTTTTCTACTTTTAGCGAGAGTTTGTTGGCGTTAAACCACTCGTTTAGATCTTCTAGTTCTTGATTAACCGTTTTAAATATTAGACTAATGTTTTTGTGGCTAAAAAATACTTGCGTAATATCAGCAAAAAAAAAAAAGATATTATTAATATAAACAAGGAATAGAAATGACCCTAAAATTGATTCTTGCGGGACCCCACAAGTAATACTTTTAAGTCTGACTACAGAGTTGACTACTACTACAACAGTTTGACTTCTACTAGAAGGTCGTTTTTGAAATCCATATTGATTAATATTTAAGAGGTGATGATTAACTAGAAAATTATAGAGTCTATTGTGCATTATGCGCTTAATGTTTTCGAAAAATAGGGTAAAAATAGAAATTAGCATGTAGTCAACACATGCATAGAACTAGGTGACAGATTGTTTTTTATTTTACTCCCAAAAAATCAACTAAAGAAGAAAAACATGCCAAATAGTTACCAATCATTTAGTCAAATGGATGATTTATTATAGTGTTCAAAAACCGATACATTGGCATTGACACAAGAATTGGGCGGGAATTCAATTAATGTTTATACTGGATAGGCAGTGCCGGATCAAAACGGAGGAGGGGGGGGGGGCTAGGAGGGCACTACTCAACAAAGAGCCATAGTACTGTTAATTAGTACTGTAAATTTATTTTTTTAATTATATCCTTAACAACAATACACTGAGGATGTGTATTATTTTGAAGGCAATTAAAAATAAATTAACGTTAATATCATCAATTTTTATTAAAGCAATTATCATGTAAATTTGGGGATTAATCTATACGATAGTGCCAAGGATGTTGAATTAAGGGTAATTAATTTATAAAATAATTTTTTCAATAACATATAGTATTAGAATACTTAGAAAATATACTTCTTTAAGCAGCCGTGGCGCAGTGGTAGCGCTTGAAAAAAGCACTTGCCTCAGAAACGTAAGATCCGTGGTACAAACCCCAAGTTTTGCGACATCGGTTGGGAAGGAGGCGTGAACTTCCTATTAAATGCTCTTTCGCGGTGCTCTTTGATAAGACAGTAAGGACTTCTTGGGGCACCTTAATCAACTTAAAAAATAAAATTAAAAAAAAAAAAAGCGTTCAAAAACAATTAAAACATGATATCCTTAAAATGTATCTTTTCGAATCTTTTCAATTTTTAATATTTTACCCATTTTTCGGATTGATTTTTATAAAAGTAAGTAAAGATTGCACGTAAATTTATTTGTTTCTATATGACAGCATACACTTTTTTGAACATATTTCGAGTCAATATTAACCCTAACTCTGACCCTAACCCTAACCCTTTGCAGCCGTGGCGTAGTGGTTACAGCGCCTGCTTTATAAGCAGGAGATCCAGGTTCAAAACGAGCTCTAGACATTTTTTTGCGTCACGGTAAGGAAGGAGGCGTGAACTTCCTGGTTAAATACACTTCCGTGGTGCTCTGTGACAAGGCCGTTAATTCTTCTTGGGGCACCTAAAAAAAAATTAAATAAAAAATATTTTTTCAAATTTTTTGGCTTCAGTTTTTATAGCAATCTAAAGTTGGAACAGTTT